ATCACCATCACCAGCACCACCACCAGTACCCTGCCGTCACTCATGAAGACCTGGCCGGCAGCGGGCACCCTCACCATCACCACCACCACCACCACCAGGCCTCTCCCACTCCCTCCACCTCCTCCAGCTCCTCCCAGCAGCTCCAGAACTCGCACCAGCAGCATCCCCCCTCCAGCAGCGTGGAGGACCGGTTCTCAGATGACCAGCTGGTCTCCATGTCTGTGAGGGAGCTCAACAGGCACCTCCGAGGCTTCACCAAAGACGAGGTGATCCGCCTCAAGCAGAAGAGGAGGACCTTGAAGAACAGGGGCTATGCCCAGTCCTGCAGGTATAAACGTGTCCAGCAGAAACACCACCTGGAGAACGAAAAGACGCAGCTCATTCAGCAGGTGGAACAGCTCAAGCAAGAAGTGACCCGGCTCGCCAGAGAGAGAGACGCCTACAAGCTCAAGTGTGAGAAACTTGCCAGCAATGGCTTCAGAGAGGCCGGCTCCACCAGTGACAACCCATCTTCCCCCGAGTTCTTCATGTGAGTGCTTAACAAAAATGATTAAAAAACAAACAAAACCCCCCTGCCCCCCAAACCTGACCCCATCACCTTCCCCCCGCTCCCATCCTCCTCTGACATCTCCATCCATCTGTCTGCTTGACTAGAGAGAAAGGAGAGGAAAAATAGAGACTTGACTTTTTTGTTTTGTTTTTGCAGCATCCAAGTCTTCTAGAGTAGCTGTGGGAAGAGTAGGCTGGGGGTGGGGATGGGAGAGGTGAAGTGCAACTTTTGGACTTTCGTTTGTGAGTTAGAGAGAGGGACAGAGGCACAGGCCAAGGAGAAAAGGCCAAGTGAAGCAGTTTATAGCTCGCTCGCTTGCCAAACGAGATGGACTTTAAGAGAATAATAATAAAAAGGACAATGAACAAGCCATCTATTACATGCTGCCTGCTCGGGAAGAGAGAGGACATACCCAGCACCATCTCATGCACAATTTACCTGCTTGGAAAAAAGAGAATAAATAAAAAGGACAATATATGCAGACTCTTCATATATTGCCTGCTTTGAGACATAAGTTGCAGGACTCAGATGGGACATTGAATCTAAGAAAGGAAAGAAAGAAAGAATGAAAGGAAAAAAAACTCATCAGTTTTATTGCCTGCTTGATTATATAGAAAAATACGAAAATCTGCATTAAAAATATTAATCCTGCATGCTGGACATGTATGGTAATAATTTCTATTTTGTACCATTTTCTTGTTTAACTATAGCATGTTGATCATCGACCATAGATTTCTGTTATTGTTTTGTTTCATCGCTAAGAAAAGCATCCCAAGTTATCAAACTTTCTACTGCTTGTGCAGTTCTGTTCGTTGGTTTTGCTCTTGGTTTTCTTTTATGGTGTTGGCTTGTAAATATCTGCTACTTCAAACCGCACAGGAGAGGAAAACACACAGACACACAATAACATTTCAGCAGGCTGGTTGTACGGTTTGTTTGGTATTAAAGAGATACTTAAGGAAAAGAAGTTATGGGCATTTTGCATTAGAAAAAGCAAAACAACTTCGTGTATCTGGTGCACTTTTAAGTTGTGTTTTTTACTTTTTGTTTTAGTTTTCATTTTGGTTTTTGTTTGTTGGGGCAGAAGCCAAACCGCCTGAATGGCATTGACAAACCTAAACTTACCAGGGAAAAACTCCGATCGGTCACTAGAGACTCCTCCATGCCTTAAAGTGGCAGCGAAGCTCTTCCCTTCAGGACAATTCCCAGCCTGGAGCGGGGAGGTTTGGCCATGGAGTTTCCCTTCTGATTGTACACTCAGGAAGCGAAGGACGGACGAGATACCAGTTCCTTTAGAGCAACAACTGCCCCTTGGGTTTCGGTAAATAAAGGAAAACTAAACCCACCCCACCCCCCTCCTCGACAGGAGCCGAGTCGAGATAGCAGCGAGGGCTCTCTG